CTTACCACTGTAAATTTCAAAAAAGGTCGCATATACTTGAAGTTCTAACTTCTTATAGTTTGGCTTCTTAAGCATTAAAAAGACATCTCGAGCTGTCAGAAATTTCATATACATAAAATCATTAAGATGTAATATCTTTAAAAGCAAATAAAATTTTCTAGTTGTAGAGGGTAAGCTAATCTCTATCTAAAATGAGAAGGCCAAAAATAAAGATTAAATTAATATTATTAAAAAAGGTTTGGGTTTATATTTAAGATTTATATGCCACTCTTTTTCATATTAAAAAAGGATGCTATTACTTAGTTTTCCAAATAGCATAAAATTATAAACTATTCTTGTTACGATATGAAATCACAACTTTCCATAATTTGATTATTCAGTAACAAATACTCTTATCAATATACTGCATTTCATTGTAACATACATAATCAGGATTTGTCTCCAAAAACTTAATCTCATAGTTCTTTTCATGTATCCTGCAAACATCATTTAAATAATATGAGGTGCAGTTGCCTACCCACAACCCCAAATGAACACCCTCTTGCTGAGGGGTTGTGGGGAGGAGACGAGCCAAATCAGGGTGCAGGGTAGCAATGATGAAACATCTAACTTTCCTCTAGTTCTTTAATGTTTCCTACCCCACACTATCATGATCCCAATTTTGCCTTGCAAATCTGGCTAGACTAGAGGATGTACATTGGAGACACAGGGAATCCAGGATAGATGACTCCTTCAGGACCAGTGGTGAGAGGGGCGATGCCTGGAGGGTAAAGGGAATGTGGGGTAAAAGGGGGGAACCGATTACAAGAATCTAAGTATAGCCTCCTCCCTGGGGGATGGACAGCAGAGAAAAGGGCGAAGGGAGACGTTGGACAGTGTAACATAACAAAACTATAATGATTTATGAATTATGAAGGGTTCATGAGGGAGGGGGGCGTAGGGAGGGAGGGGGAAAATGAGCAACTGATAGTAAGGGCTAAAGTAGAAGGCAAATGTTTTGAGAACGATGAGAGCAACAAATGTACATATGTGCTTGACACAATGGATGTATGTATGGATTGTGATAAGAATTGTACGAGCCCCCAATAAAATAAAATAAAAAGTACAATAGCAATAAAAAAATAATATGATGTGCGATAAGCATAGTATTATATTTGCCCTTAAAGTCCTGGACAATATTTCCCAAAGTCTTATTTCAAAGCTACTGGAACACACTCCAATAAGAATATTGCTAAAATATATATTAAAACAATAGTTACCTGCTAATGCATATATCCCTTTAGAACAGTCTTGGTTCTTTCCTGAAAAGTCACCACCCATAGTCTATATGTTAAAAGAAATGGGGTGGGGGAGAGAAGGGAGAAAAGTAATAGCTATTAACCAGCAAAAAGGCTTAAGACTTGAAGTTGCATAATTAAATTACAAGAAAAATAAGCTGTAGCTTCATATCAGGATATTACTTTTAATGAAATTACTTACATGTGTTTTCCCACTTCCAGTTTGCCCATAAGCAAAGCATGTAGCCATTCCTCTTTCAAATATAGTTTCCACTAGTGGTCTAGCTGTAAACCTAAAATTAAATCCATCTGTCAGAATTTGCTGTCAATATTTAAGTTAAACAGAAGACACTAATACCAAGTCTTATAAACTGTTATTGAACCTAATAATTTATGGAAAATCTTTGTTAATCTTTTCCTTAGAATTACCTAAGGCATAAATTCAAGCAATAATTCCAAAATAAATAATGGTAATGGATAAACTAAAAACTGGTATTAACTGAATTAAGACATATGTAGAGGAAAGTAGGAAACGTTTAAAAAATATTTATTAGCAAGACAAATAAGACATATCTGTCACGAGGTGTCGAAGGGATCAGGTATCAAGCATCAGATGTGGGGGCTACATTGTGAATGAGGGGGAGTGCAGAGTAGGGACCAAAAAGCCATTTGTGGGCAACTGGATATCCCCTTACAGAAGGGTCTCGTGGGCAGTGTAGCAACAATGAAATATACAACTTTCCTCAAGTTCTTAAATGCTTCCTCCCTCCAACTATCATGATCCCAATTCTACCTTACAAATCTAGCCGGACCGGAGGATGTACATTGGTACAGATGGGAACTGGAAACACAGGGAATACAGGGCAGATGAACCCTTCAGGACCAGTGATGGAGAGTGGAGATACCGGGAGGGTGGAGGGAACGTAGGGCAGAAAGGGGGAGCCGATTACAAGGATCTGCGTATAATCTCCTCTCTGGAAGTTGGTCAACAAAAAAGTGGGTGAAGGGAAACATTGGACAGTGTAAGGTATGACAACATAATAATAACAACTTAATTTTGAAGGGTTCATAAGGGAGGGGGGAAAAAGGAGGGTGAGGGAAAATGAGGAGCTGATGCCAGGGACTCAAGTGGAAAGCAGATGTTTTGAGAATAGTAATGGCAACAAATGTGCTTGATACAATGGATGTACGTATGGATTGTGATAAGTATACGAGCCCCCAATGATTAAAAAAACCAAAAACGACATATATGACGCAATCACTATTTCCTCTCCCTAAAAAAGGACCAGCTGTAATTCCAACAACAAAAAAATCATGAGTAAAAAACAAAACAAAACACATGAGTAATAATCTCAATAAACAAAAAAAAACTAATGGGGGAAAGTATTTCTTTTCTTTATAAATCATTTTATTGCAGGCTCTTATAGCTCTTACAACAATCCATACATCAATTTTATCAAGCACATTCGTACATATGTTGCCATCATTATTCTCAAAACACTTTCTATTTGAGTCCTTGGTATCAGCTCTTCTTTTTACCCTCACTCCCATGCCCACCCACTCAATGACCCCTTGATAAACTATATTCTCATATCTTACATCATCCACTGTCTCCCTTCACCCACGTTTCTTGTTTTTGTCCCCTCAGGCGTGGGCCTACACACTGATCATTACAACCGATTCCTTTCTCCCCCCACCTTCCTCTTACCCTCATGGTATCACTACTCCCATTATTGTTCCTGAGGGGTTTATCGGTCCTGGATTCCATGTGTCGAGAGTTCTTATCTGTACTAGTGCACATGCTCTGTCTAGTCGGATTTGTCAGGCAAAACTGGGATCATGATAGTAGTGGGGAGAAAGCACTAAAGAACCAGAGGAATGTTGTTTTGTTGGTGCACCCTGGCTGGCTCATCCTTTCCTTGTGATCCTTCTGTGAGGGGATGTCCAATTGTATATAGATGGGCTTTGGGGTCTCCACTCCAACCCTCCTTGTTCCCATCAATGTCATTGTTTGTTTTGGGTCTTCTGATGCCTGATCCCCTCGACACCCAGTGATCACACAGGTTGGTGTGCTTCTTCCATGTGGACTCTGTAGCTTCCTTGCTAGATGGCTGCTTAACTTCAAGCCTTTAAGTTCCCAGACACTGTAGCTTTTAACAGCCGGGTAACATCTGCTCTATTTACCACATTTGCTTATGATCCGTTTTGTCTTCATTGATCTTGTTGGCAAGGTGAATGTCACAGAATGCCAGCTTATTAGAACAAAGTGTTCTTGCATTCAGGGAGGACTTGAGTCCGTCTGCTACCTTAATACATTAACATATAAATATATGTGCATAGACATATCCTTATCATTATATATTAATATATTTACATATATACATGCCTATATTTATAGCTCTATAAATGTCTTTTGCCTCCTAATTCTTTCCTCTATTTCCTTTTACTTTCCTCCTGTCCCACTATCATGTTCGACCTTCATTTGGCTGAAAGTATTATCTTAATACCATTTAATAGAAAGATGCTAAGATTTGCTAAAATGTACACAAATAACTTAGAGGAAAAGAATAAAACTATGTAAGACTTGGAGTTCTTTTTTTTTTTTTTGGTTTTCTTTCTTTTTTTTTTTTTTTTTTTTTTTTTTTTTTTTTTTTTTTT